CTGCTCAACTTGTGCTAATTAATATTTAACAATATACTTTATTCGTTTATATCAAAACTGAACACTAATCATCATTTATAAAATTATTTAATTAATCATTTCGATATTTGATTATTTCAATCCTAATCGAAAATCATTGAAACTTAAATAGGGCCGCTTTTAGAAATAATTAGACTTTAAGGGCTGTTTTAGAAGAAAATTAAAAAAAAGTTTATTGAGGTTCAGTTTGAAGAGAAAAAATGGTGTATGATCAGGAGCGTATCGTAAAATATAAAATTAACTTTTTGTTTACAATAATACTAGAATCAAATAAATTTATTTTTTATTTTCATTTGAATAAAACGGTTAATACAATTTTTGATGAATTATTATTTTTTTAAATATTTAAGCATTGCAATTTTTATTACACTCCTTGAAATAAAAAGAAAACGGTGCTCAAACGGCACTTTCTATTATTACACTGACAGGCAAAAAATTCCACCCACTTGATTTTTTCATGTTTTCATCTAAAAATATTTCTGCCACAAGTAAAAAAAGTTGTACTTGTATATAATACATGGTATTTGTAGATAATACTTAGTATTTATGGAATTTCATAATATTTTTTACCTTTAATAATCAAAATGTGATTGGATAAGAAATATTAGAGAAAAAAAAATTGAAAAACGAACCATTATTATTCTAAAAGAAATTAACTACATCATCGTTTAGTAGCGCGTGTTTCCTCCTCTTGCCTTTACTACTTCTTGAAGACGCCTCAGCATACTTTCCACCAGTCGGGAAATGTCCCTTTGCTGGAGGATAGCCCATTCCTCCCGAAGAGCCCTTTCAAGGTCCTGCAGTGTATCAAGAAGTGTTGCACGCGCTCTTATTCGTCTTCGGAGGTTATCCCATAAGTGCTCAATGGGGTTCAAATCTGGAGAACGTGCTGGCCAGGCTAAAACCTCAATATTGTTCTGTTGAAGGAACGTCTGCACTATGCGGGCGACATGTGGGCGTTCATTATCGTGCATTAGAATAGAACGATCGCCGATTTCGTTGAGGATAGGCAACACATGAGGTTCCAAAATCTCATCTACATAGCGAATGGCCGTCAAAAACCCTCCACGAACAACAACCAATTCTGTGCGGCGCTCCATTGAAATCCCAGCCCACACCATTAAGGAACCACGTTGGAAAGGTTGGTTCTGGGCAAAATTACAGGCTGCATATCTTTCGTTTCTTCTTCTGAACACCCTTTTACGCCCATCTAGAGATCGAAGAGCGAAAAAGCATAGCACTCTGTGAGTTCTGGTCCTCTTACTGGACGAAAAACCATTAATCCATACTCATTTAATGTTCTTCGAGAACGTTCAGAAATTTGCACTCCTCGAACTTCTTCGAGCTGATGAATCGCTTGAACAACGGTAAGGTGCCGGTTTTGTAAAGTTCACAAAGTCAAAAACCGGTCATCCCGTGGTTCTGTTACCCTAGGCCGTCCAGAACCAGGCCGTCTATTGTAAGAACCAGTTTCCCGAAAACGCCTGACGGCGTCTCGTAAAGTTTCATATGGAACTCCGATGTCATTAGCTCCATATCTAATGGAACGTCCATCATCAATAAGTGCCACACCAAGCGCAACATCCTCAGCACTAAGAGGCATTTTTAAACTTAATATTGAAAAAATTAAAAGCCGGAGATTAAGAAATGTGCTGCAAGAAACGGCACTGAACTAATGATACTGAATAAACATTTTGATTCCATAGGAAGTAAACATTGGAATCTAGAATCATTTCATTGAATTAAGGATTAAGGGTTATTGTCCTCTATATTAACATTCCTAATTGAAAACAAACAAAAATATTACCTATTTATTCATTAAAAACAATACACCAATCCAAAGCAGAAATATTTTTAGATGGAAACATGAAAAAATCAAGTGGGTGGAATTTTTGCCTATCAGTGTAGTTTTTCCAGCTTTAAAATAATTTTAAAGTTTTGTTTCTGTTAAATTACATTAATTTTCATAAAATTTTGTACATAATTTTTTACTCACGCTGAATTGCCTTTTACGACTTTTTATTATATTCTATATATATATACATACATACATAAATTTGTAACTCTGTTATTATTCTTAGAGGACAGTAGTCCCAGAATAAAATTTTTTCATTTCATTTCATTACTGGAATACATTGGAGTAATGTCTTTTTCAAAGAGAGATTTATTTTAAAAATATTATATTGTTGTTCTTTTTTCTAGTTCATTTTCTAGAATAAATAAATTATATTACTGCATATTAAAAAAAAATCATTGCATAAGGGTATATTCCGAATTAATTATAGATATTGTACTTTATATGAAATAAAAACATTTATTTATACATACAGATAAAAACTGTCTCTAGTTTCTGGATACATTGATTATAGGCAAAATATTAATTAGTATACAATGTTTGATGATTATTATGATTTCTGGCTGGTATAAGAGCAGTGCATAACCACATTTATAAGGGCAATATGACTAAAATAAAAAATATTTATTTCGAAAATTTGAAATCTGTTTGTATTAGTGAATAATACAAACAGAAAGATATTCTTGAACGTTAAATTTCTGCTAAGATTAGACGATAAATACAAAACAAAAAATATATAAGGCACCTATAGACTCCAAAATGCGTGGAATCGTATATGAGAGAAATTTCAAGTACAAAGTGGGAACCAAGAGACTGGAATGCAATTAGGAGTTGGGAAAACCATTTATATCAGTTAGGATTCCGGGTTCCGATCGGAGATCTATGAGGTGTCTCCTAATGCAGTTACACAACTTATAAATGACGATGGTCATTTGTCTCAGTTAGAACACAAGCTATCGAAAAGTCATTCCATAAAACTTGTACTACGTTCTTCTCGAACGAACTTGGAATTTTAGATATCTATTTAAAAAAACATTTAATAAAATTTAGTTTTATTTTTATTTTTTTATTGCGAATTTGGATTTTTCATAATGTTGTGGAAACATGAAAAGTAGTGTTAAATATTCCCAAGATTGCTAGTTCTTATAGTGATTTTATAAGCATCAAGTACTTCAAAAACTTCTATAAAAATATACATCAAAAAAGCATGTTTAATATGCAATATCCATCCTCAGTTTATTGAAAGTCATAAAGTTGGTATACTAAAAGTCATTAAAAGATATTAGTTCACTTAGTGTGTTTTTTCGTCATTAACATTTCAGTTCCATCAAAAATGTACTTAGCGATTTTTTGTAAATAATTAAATTAATAACCCCCTCTCAAAATTTGAGGTTTCACGTTTCAGGATGCATAGAATTCGAAAAACGAATAAAAAGTTTTTTGTCCGTCCGTCGTCCTCCGTCCGCGCATTTTCTCCGAAACTGCTGGACCGATTTTTTTCAAATATTGATATAAAATCAGAGGTCACCCGAGAATGATCTTCCTTCATCAACATTACTATCCGCCTTTCACTTTCAAAATGGCTGCCGAAAAACATGCGTTGCTATAGACTGTAGCTCCTAAACGAATGTACAGATTTCAATGAAACTTCGCTAAAGTCATTTTCTCGACGCCCTCAAAATCTATCTAACATACTTCAACGAAAGGAAGCTGGAAAAAAAGTTATGAGGGATGGTAAAATTAAATTAAGAATAACTCGAAAAGTTTATACTTTTTTGTTGATATTGTGATAAGATATTTCAAAGGTATTTAAATTTACTTAAAAATTAAGGAAGTTTCATCGAAATCATAGAACTATTAGTAGAGATATCGCGGTTTTTACACATTTTTGGTTTATTATTTTCAATAATTTTTTTTGTTGTTGTGTACATGTATTATTCTGTTATATATTATATCAGCCGTGGATCGATCCTTGCGTCATGCACAACCAACCTCTGTAAAGTGGGTATTCTCAATTAAATAATTAATTATCGGGTAAACATGGCGGTTGAGCGTGATACAGACCCAATCCTCTCACTGCACAAACGCTGACCTTTATTACTCCCTTACAAAGTATTGAACACAAGATCCTTCATGGGTTGTATTGGTACAGGTTTTGTGTATATAGAGGGTGTTTCAGGGTTAAGTGGACAAACTGAAAAAAAGAACTAAGGACTTCAAAACAAGAACAAAATTACCTCTGAAGGTATGTCCGCAAAAGCTTTGTTTAAGAGCTATACCACTTTAAGATTTTCGTTGTTATGAATTATTTACGTTATATGAAATAAATAAAACCTATTTATTTGTTCTAAATACTTTATTAATTAAATGTAAACATTAACATTCATATTAAATGTTGCTCAAAGTGTCCACAAACGCTTTGTTTAGAAGATGGATTAGATAGAATACTAATATGGCCTTTTATCCTTAACTTTATAAAAACTATTCGCAACCTAAGGATTAATATTATTTGGAATTAGCATTGGGAACTCTCAATAACATCTATCAGTTTGTAAGAAACTTTCGCAGAGTATTGTATCGCAGAGTATACTCATCATTATGCCTTCCATTTATACTAATGGGGAATATGCCGAAATGGTGTTTGTATATGGATTTCGCAATGTCAATGCAAATGCTTCCCGCCGTAAATATGGCAGGCGTTTTCCGAATAGATTATCAAACAAGTACTCATTTCAACGTCTCAGAGAAACTAGTACATTTGTTATAATACCACGTGCTGAAGGTATTTTTGCCCCTTTACGACATAAAGAAAGAAGTGCGACCATACTACAATATTAGGGTGATAATCCAACTGGCAGTGTACGAAGATCTGGCGCAGAATTAAATATAACGCCAACTACATTATGAAGAACTCTCATTGTAGATGGACTTTACCCATATCATTTCGATTTCGGCAAAGAAGAAGTTTTTTCAGATTGGTACTTAAATCAAGTTGAGCATAATCCACAATTTTCAGGAACCATTCTCTGGACAGATGAAGTTATCTTTACAAGAAGAGGTATCTTCAATCAGAAAAATAATCTTCTCTGGTCGCAGGAAAATCCCCATGCAATTCGTGAACATCATTTTCAGCATCAGTTTCAGTGCCATGTGAGATTGGGGATCATAAACAATATTTTAATAGATCCACATATCTCAGCATATGCCGCCGCCTCGATTCAATGCGGATACATTTCTGGAATTTCTTACTAATGATTCCTATGATTTAATTGAACATATTAAATGACAACTGAGAAGGGACATGTGGCTTCAATTAGATGGTTGTTCTGCACATTATGGAATAGGTCCTCGACAATGGCTAAATGTTAATCATCCCAATCAATAGATTGGCCATGCAGAACCAGTGGCTTGGTCAGCACACTCTCCAGACCTGACACCACTGATTTTTTTTTGTTTTGGCTAACATTAAACAAAAAGTCTATGCAAGTCTGTTCAATGACCTTAATTCCTTATGAAGAGGGATAATTGAATCTTGTGTAACAATAACATATATCCAGTGCCATTATGCCACTGCTGCTGTTGAAGAATGATGCCAAGCCTGCCTTAATGCTCAAGAAAATCACTTTGAACAACATTTAATATGAATTTAATGTTTACATTTAATTAATATAGTAGTTGGAACAAATAAATAAGTTTTATTTACTTAAGATAACGTAAATAATTCATAACAATGAGAATCTTTTGGTGGGAATATCTCCTAAACAAAGTGTTAAGAATAGGATTTTATACCTTATTATACCTTATTTTATACGGGCATACCTTGATAGGATTTTTTTTCTCTTGTTTTGAGATCCTTAATTCATATTTTCAGTTTCGCCTCTTCAGCCTAAAACACCCCGTATAATATGTTGTATATTATACTTACAATCTGTAGTAGAGTGTCATAGATAGATTATAAGTATATTTATGTATATATACTTAATATGATTGTACTAAATACCTACATTATAAGATATAATTTGAATATTTAATTACAAAAAAATGTACCCCTATGCTAAGCTAATATAAATCAAAATATCAAGCCAATATATTTTTTTCACCACAGAAATTGCAGAGATAAGAGATTAGAATAAGAATTGTTAAGTGAGTTTCTAAAAAAAAAAATTTCTTAGTATTGCATCATTTTGCTTTTTAAGTTATTTTATTGCATTGATGTATTCAATACTACGTAGCTAAATTAGTTAAATAATAACTTAAAAGTCAGTAATTTTCACCTTTAATTTACAATTTACCTCCTGAATTATAAATAGGATTAAGTCATATATCACAGAAGAAATTGTTGTAATTACCTGAGTGGTACAAATAACAAAGTTTACACAATCAGTATAGTTTATGTACGCAATCCAAGGAAAATGTTACATGTCAACAGGTGCTTATATTTTAGGCCTCAATAATTGGTATTAATTTATTAAATCTAAAATACCTAAAACTCAAATGATATAATTTGCTAGTTACATTCCTCTCATTCGAAAACCTGAAGTCTCTCTCAAAAGTTTCAAATATTTAGATTAAAGAAAACTCTTTAATAATAAATCAATTGATTTTTTTCAAGTCACCTAGTACATTGAAGAAGTGTTTTCCTTTGATCCACAATAAATGTTTAATTTAAAAAATAATTATTTATTTATTTTGACGGTGGAGTCTTTTATTGAAAAACCTGATTTCTAGACAAATCAGTATTCAAAAATACACAATTATCATATGGCTCACCTTCTATTTCGAAAAAATCGCATTTTCCATCTGTTTTGTCTAGTGTAATGGTTCAGTGCACAACAAATGTGAACCTCAACAAATTTTTTTTCATCATGATAAGACGAAAAATAATGGAAAATATTAAAAAAGTAAATTAAAATCGATAAGAAGAAAATTAGTTTGAAATCATACATTAAAAATCACAATTTAATGAAAACAGTAGAAAATAACTAGTTTATGTTACATGATCTATTAATGAGTAACATGGTTCATTAATAATCAAATTATTTAATAAATGTTGCAGGTTTTCAGCAAAGCTAAAGTACAGTTTAGCCTTGGAGGAGCAGTTTTCAGCAGGCGTGCCGTATCTTACACGTATATGCCAGACACAGTCCTGGAAAATGCCAGAAATGTCACGATCCACCTCCATCATCATATAGCAAAATATATCAAAATCCAACTTCACTTTGCTTCACGATGGATTATGATTAGTGAAGTCATATTTGAATCAGGTAATTAGTTTGCATAGTAATTTGTTCATCCAATAGTAAAATAACTGTAATATTGAAAGCAGGACTATTATGATTCTTATTTCTTAAAAGATTAATTTAATTTAATTTTTATAATTTATAAATTTATTTATTATAGTTTGATTTATGGGAAGTTAGATCAGAAACTTATGATCTTTTCATTAAGTTGTTAAAAATAAAACCAAGTAATTTTTACCTCATCCTTAATCTGAAAATAATTAAGTGCTAAAACCAATTGAATTTATAATAAACAAGTTCAATATTACAAAATAAATTATTTTAACAAAAGTTTATTTAATTTTATTTATTTTAACAAAATAAACTTTTACAGAACCTGTTGACACAAATGTAACTGAAGAAATTGAAGCAAGTCTGGCACAGGAGGAAATTATATTCAAATCTGGAGGAAGTCATAATATGATATTCGACAGTTTTGAAACAAGTAAGAAATATCACTAGTCAGTAAGGCACTGAACATCAAATCCCAACCCCAGTTTCAAGAACCTCAATGGCAGAAAATTAACTACTTGATTCTAGTCAATCTCAAAAGTTGACACTGGGGTGGGGAGATCTTCCTGGTCCAAACCTAGCTCAAAGTAAAGAGGGATGAGAGATCCTAAGTGAAAATTAATAGAGCACATTAGTCAACACATCACTTTTGGACAAAATTGAGAATTTTGAAATCAGAGTGACTTGAGTCACATTTTCAATAATTCTAATTCAAGTTCAGAAATATAATACAGAAGAACTAAACTGTTGAAAAAAGAAATTAATCATAGTTACAATCATATTAGTTCACCTCCAGATATTGAAGTTGAGACTTGGTTAGCTTTTTCTTTCTACAGCTTAGCTCTTTTAGAGAGTATTTCTGGACTTAAATCAGGATTACTTAAAATATGAATAATACAACTCGGCCTTAAACTCCTCAATTGTTAGTCAAGAAACAGTGTTTCCTTATCAAAGACTAACTTCTAAACCTCTAAACCTTTCATGTGTTGTAATTTTTTTCAGTGTATTTTAGTTTAAGCTGAAATTAGATTCATAATAAAATTTTTAGGCTATATCTGTTCCTTAAATGATTTTTTTTTTATTACATAAACAAAGTTTCGACTGTTATCCCCATTTTAATAATAAGGTTCATTATGTTAGCACAACATTTTCGTCAAATGGCTGTGCACAACATGTGGCTTGAAAATGGTGACAACAGCTGAAACGTTAGTAACTAGTAGTTAAAAAATAGTGTAGTTTATTTTTTATTGGATTTAAACTTTTATATGCTACAACTTTAAGCTTTTATAAGTAATAAGTTCTTACTTCTTTGTCCACCGCTTGTTTTGACAAATAAGATTCTGGCTCTTTATTTGGCCAAAATTATTAAATGGTGCGAGTCCATGTTTGCAACACAAAACATTTTCAACATCGAATAGGTTTGATCTATGCCTTGCACTTATTAGAAAGTGATCAATCTGATGAACTACATTTCCGTTGAGGGATATGTTAGTGCCACTTTCTTCATTTCTTATGGAAAATAGACAGCTCTCAACTACAAGATTTATTTGTCGTTGCTTTACAGAATGATGCCACAAATTAATATAAATGAATAATACCAAATGTATTATTTATTAGTTGATTTTGGATCTGCTTTCAGCAGCATCTTATCTGTTCATGTAGAGAACCAAAAAAAGTAGTACAGTTTTTCTATTTTATTTTCTCTCTATTTGGCTATTTCTGGCTTATTGGGTGGTTATCCTAAAAATAATCAACTTATTCTAGTCACATTAGGAATATTCATTCTATAGTTTTACCATTAAATAAATTTCAATACACCCAGGCTGGCATGAAACTGGTGCCATCACAGCCTTAAGAGAGCCACATTCAAAAAGGGCTATGTTCCTACGTCCAGCCTCTTACACCGGAATTTATATCTGAAACAGGGAACAATAAATTCTGTGAACACAACTAAATGTAGAGTAGAGGCCCAGTCTCGAAAAAATAAATTAATACTACAAGACATTATGTACTGGAATGTTTCACACTAGGACAACTATACTTTGAATAACTCATTAGACATGGTTTCTTTTTTTAATGGAATATCAAGTAAAAACCAATTTATTTCTTATAAATAAATGTAATAAGGAGGCACTAAAAAACATTAATCAAGTGCAGAATCCACCCTACCTAATATTCTTTGATGGAAAGAATAAGCTAATTATTAATTAATATCTTAATCATTTATAGGCAATCAATTTTCTTTGCACCTTAAATGAAATTGAGCCTTATGTCTTACTCTCAATTAAAAAAAATTGTACCACTACAATCTATGAAAGGTTTTGGGTTCAGTACCTTGTAAATACTATTTATTGGTTAGCGATTGTCCAAGGAAGTGTTCTGGCCTAAATCACAATCAACAGTAAGAATTTTTAATTTAATTAATTGAGATTACCTATTTAATAGAGCCTAGTGAGCCGCAGGAGGACCTATCAACCTTAGATTTGCTCAACTGCTAGTGTAACACTATACATGATTATCTGTCACAGTCAGACACAAACCCAGGACTGTGATGATAAGAGTACAGTGCCTTTACTCACTACCCCCCTCTACTTATCATTAAATATTATATATATATATATATATATATATATATATATATATATATAATATATATATATATATATATATATATATATATATATATATATATATATATATATATATATATATATATATATAAATACATACATACATACATACATACATACATACATACATACACATACACATACACATACACATACATACAGGCTGTTTCAGAGTTAAGTGGCCAAACAGCAAAAATTAACTAAGAATCTCAAAACAACTTCTCTGAAGGAAAAGTTTTGTTTAGGAGATATTCCCACCTAAAGATTTTCGTTCTTATGAATTATTTACATTATATGATAAAACATATTTATTTGTTCTTAATACTTTATTAATTAAATGTAAACCTTAACATTCATATTAAATTTTGTTCAAAGTGAAGGTATATCCGCAAACGCTTTGTTTAAGAGATGGATTAGATAAAATACTAATATGGCCTTATATCCCTAACTGTATAAAAACTATTGGCGACATAAGGATTAATACTAATTGGAATTAGCATTTGGAACTCTCAATAACATTTATCAGTTTGTAAGAGACTTTTGCAGAGTACTCATCCTTTTGCCTTCCATTTATACTAATGATGAATATGCCGATATGGTGTTTTTTATTAGTATGATGTAGTTAAACATACTCCACTACAACTGAGAAGGGACATGTTGCTTCAAATAGATGGTTGTCCAGCACATTATGGAAGAATTCCATGACTATGGCTAAATGTTAATTATCCCAATCAATGGATTGGCCTGCACACTCTCCAGACCTGACACCACTGGATTTTTAGCATATATTAAGCACAGTTCAGCCACTGCTGCTATTTAAGAATGATACCAAGCCTGCCTTAATGCTCAATGAAATCACTTTCAACAACATTTAATATGAATTTAATGTTTATGTTTAATTAATGAAATAGTTGGAACAAATAAATAAGTTTTATTTACTTACCATAACGTAAATAATTCATAACAATGAGAATCTTTTGGTATGAATATCTGCTAAACAAAGTGTTTGCGTGCATACCTTCACTGGAATTTTTTTTCTTGTTTTAAGGTCCTTAATTCATATTTTCAGTTTGGCCACTTAACCCTGAAACATCATGTATATTAAAATAGTAACATTTTCAAGAAGAAATTTATAAGATCTTAGGTGCAGACGAATAATTGGAGCTAAAAATATATATAAAAAAAAAATTATATGATTGATCTATTTGTTTTATTTTAAAATTTAATATATTTTTTAACAGTAGCAACTTTATTATTTATAATTAAAAATCCTTTAGTATAAAATAAATATTTTTATACTATATCTATTAATTCTAAAACCACCTAATTCATTTTCATAAATTCACAAACTTTAAAAAACCTGTCTAATTTTATTATTATTTACCTCTCATAATTTGTAACTTATTTCAACCAAAAAAACATCTTGGAAATATATTTTTAACTTACATATGGTAATTATTGTTAAATAATCTAACTGAATAAATTTACCGTTTTTAAAATTAAATTGGCAAAAGTCTCTTACAAATTGTATTGGCAATTTATTACTAGTTACTGAAAACAATCATAATAATAAACTGTTAAATTTATTAAATAAACCACTTAAAAAAATAATATTAACCTTATAAGAAAATATCTGTAAATAAACATTATTTTTGAGAAAAAAAACAGTTCAGATAAAAAAAAAAAAGAAATAGTAATGAAAGCATACTTAATTATTATACAAATAATTTTACTAATTATCGCATTAATTTAATATAAAAAATCAATAGTTCTAATAGATAACAAAAATTTAAAATATATTAAAATGATATTTACCAAAAAAATGAATAAATAAAATAATATAGAAAACAGCAATAAAAATAATGAAAACATCTTAAAAGGAAGGGCTGATTACAAATGATTTCAAGATTATTAAAAATTATAATAACAATATCAGTAAAAATAATAATAATACAATAGAAAATACAACTAAAATTCACCGTTTTCACAAGCTAAAATATATCTCCAGGATAACTGACAAAATAAAAAATATATTTGAAAAATATGACCAGGAAAATTTAAAATTTGATTTATATAATAAAAATAAATTAGATGAATTTTTAGTAAACATTAAAGACGTGTCAAAAAATCTAAACAAAAAAAGTTTATTTATGAAATAAACAGTGTAAAGATTTCTTTTTATGACAGAAGCATCTCAAAATCTAAAAAAGATGGTTAACCAACATAAAATTATTAAAAGAATTAAAAAACATGTCTTTGTCACAGCTTTAGACAAACAATGTATAACTAATAATCATGTCTGTGATTATATATCAAAGATATTTATAACAATAGTGATTTTATAGTGATAGGATATATTTGATGATTTTTAATATTATTTTTTCATTAGTGTAATAATAAAATTTAAATATGTATATATGTAGTTGGAAAACAAATTTTCACATATATAATAATGATTTTATTTAGATTAAGTTACAAAAAAATATATTTGGTTTTAAATTGGTCAAAAAAAGTCCAAAATATAAATATATAGTGCAACAAAAATTAGATAATCAAAGTATAAAAAGAGGTTTTATTTACATATTTCTTCCTGAAAAAGTGACTGTTTGCAAATGAATTAATGGATCCTTTTGAAAAAAAAGTTATGATTATTTATATTAGAAATGATAAATATATTCTTTCTTTCTTTTTTTTTTTTTGAAGAACTACAAACTTCAGTTGCAGCCCCAAATGAAGACAACGAGTATGTCGAAGTCATCATAGGTGTCTTAACAGCTGTAATGTTGTTATTGATTGGAGTTTTTGTGATTATACTTGTCTTAAGTCGTAGACAAAAACACCAAGGCTCCCCAACAACCATACTGAGAAATCCTTTTGGTGTCACAATAAACATGAAGGTATCTGCTCCTGTTTAATTAGTTGTTGTTTCTATGTTAAAAATAAACAGACTTTAGTACTATAAAAACATTAATTTAAAATGTTTATAAACTATAGAATATTTATTGAGCTTTAGTCTTAAGAATTCATTATTATTTTTGAAAATTTAGATAATTATATAAAAAAAATTGGATAAACATATACTTCACACCACAAGTAATTTGTTTTTACATAGAGAATGATTTTTCTAGATCATTACTTTCATGCAATACTTTTCTTGGTAAGCACTGCTAAAGTTAATTCCTAATTTTGACATAGGATTTGCTGATGAATCTTTCACCTCTAAATACAAGTATGGTTCATGTCAGCTCTCAGCCTACACCTGCTAGCCAAGACCCCTCATCAGATCAGTCTTCAATGTGTTTTGAGGCTACACAGCACTATCATACACCATTAGTAAGCCCATATTATTCCTCTGCACCCGCCTACACCAGTGTAAGAACTGAGTCACCAATTCATACAAGTGGGCAAGGTATTCACCATCACATCCTTCCTGTGATAAATATTACTCATTACTCAATGTTCTTGAATCATATGAAAAATCATTTTTGTGAAACTTCTTTACCTTAATGCCATATAGTATGCAACATGCAATATGGTGTCCAACTACACCATTGTATCAATGGGTCATGATAAATATAGTATTGCTAATATATACTGCTAAAAAGTGAATAGAGGTATTGATAGTTATGTGTGATTTATTTTCCCTAGAATTTTTATTTTTTTATTATTATTATAAAATACAGCTTTTGACCAGGTATGGCACAGAGAACTTCTTTCCAAGCTGAAAATCCATCTACACCAGCCCTTGTATCTAATCCTCCGCTCCTACTTCTCTGATCGCACCTTTCGAGTTTGCTGTGGTACAGAATTTTTCATTTCCTACCCAGATAAAGTCGGTGTTTCTCAAGGTAGCGTCTTGGGCTCCGTCCTTTATATCCTTTTTACCGCTGATATTTCTGTCCATCCTGATACCTTCCTGGCAACCTTTGCTGATGACACTGCCATTCTATCATCCAACTCAGATCCTGAAATAGCATCTTTAAATACCAAAAGACATCTCTCCCCGATTGAGCACTGGTGTAATAAATGGCGCATAAAAGTAAACGAATCCAAATGCAAAAACATTACCTTCACACTCTGGTGCATATCCTGTATACCAGTTTACTTTAATTCCATCCAATTTTCTTTTTCAGACACAGTATGGTATCTTGGCTTTCTCTTAGAACCAAGATTAAAGTGAAACCCACATACTAGACTTGAAAGACAAGAATTTAACAGAAGATACGGCCAATTATACAAACTACTGACTAGGAAATCTCAACTTTCATTTGACAACAAATTACGACAATCCTGAAACCTATTTGGACCTACGGACTTGAACTTTGGGGGACAGCTAAGTTTTCTAACATTAAACGCATCCAAAGTCCTCCGAACAATAGTTGATGCTCCGTTCTATGTAACCAACAAAATCCTACATCATGACCTTAATATTCCATTTGTTGTAGATCTCATCTCTGAAAATTTTTCCAAATTCCATCAGAACCTTACGAATCATTCAAATCCCCTTTTACAATCCATATTTAGTTCCACTCATCCCTACAATCCTCCAAGAAGGTTGAAACGGTAGTGGGCTCGCTACCTTTTGTAAATTGTATATATTGGAGTTCTGGTAATGGCCAGATTCTCCTCTCGACATGAGTGTATGTGGCTAAAGTGCTCTCGATCAATCTCTTTAGTACCACTTTAGTTGCCTATGTCCTTGACTGCTATTTGTCACAATAATATTCCAAACTTCTGGTTTAATACGATGTCTTTCCATTGTTAAACAGAATACTATTGGATTAAAAAAAAAAAAAAAAAAAAAAAAAAAAAAAAAAAAAAAAAAAAAAAAAACGCTCACACGATCACGCTCACGCTCAACCGCCAGGTTTTCCCCCTTAATTAATTATTTAATTAAGAGTACCCACTTTATAGAGGCTGGGTGTGCCCCAGGAGGGACTTCTGACCCAAGGTCGCCCCACGGCCAATGAAACAGATAAATAAATCTTCTGCCATGAGCCGGGGTTCGAACTCGGGACCTTTGCATTGGAAGCTCAGTGCCCTACCACTGAGCTACCCCGCTCCCTACTATTGGATTAAAATTGAGAAAATTCTAAAACAATTGCTTTCATCTTGACTATCCATTTGTAAATCATTTATTCAAATTAAAGAATATTTGTTGATTACGTTTTATGTTTACCAACAAATAAGATAATCTCTATCAAACAAAAAAAAAAATAGTGTATTTTAATTAAAATAGAAATATCTCTATTCATTGTTGAGCAGTTTAATTAACTAAATGAAAAATTCATACAAGTTGTAACAATGTCAAATATTTCAATGATGAGCCTTTCCTCTAAAATCAGTAACTTTTTTTTTTTTTAAACATCAGAAGAGATAGTACAGAATGAAGGAATAGTAAAAGAAAGTGATGAAGAATCACAGACCCAAACAAAAAGCATGACTGCTTCAAGAAGTTTGGGAAGAGGAACAGCAAGTCCTTATGCAGTTACAGGACCAGGGTCACCTGTGAGAAAAAGATACCATACAGCTCCTCGTGAGAAGCATAGAGTAAGTTTCAGGTCTTCATTTTGCTTATGAATTAGTTTAGAAAAATAGAGAAAAACATTTTATTTTTTAGAGTTTGATTAAATTGATCTACCTAACAAGCTATGAGGTAGCAAACTCAGTAAGCTTGCCCATTTAAATCATGTTCACTAGCTAAATACTGTTGTGGTAAATTAAAAGTCATACTAGTTTAATCATTATTTGATAGCTAGCAAACTAGCTAAAATATGTGCATTGATAAAAAAATATATATAGTTGCTAGTGGTCAAGCTGGGAGAATCCTCTCCTAAAAGAAATACTTATAATAAGTGATTTAAACTTAATAGCTATTTGGCCACAATGGAAGTAAAAGTTTTCGAATAGTCATCATCACCGTACTAGTAAATTTACCCACTATTAAACTTGTTGTTTAATAGTTTGTAAACTAGTTCAATACAATTGAGCCTTAAATGTGAGAAATTTCCAATGCAATGAAAAATCACAAAATGTCATTTTAATTTGCATTGAACGAAATTGTTATATCACTACACTATAACTCACAGTGTTTATTAAATAATTCGAGTATCATTCTTTTACTCCTTTAAATAAATGTTAACTATTTTTAGTCATCAAGATAAATAATAGTTTAAAAAGCTGGAAATCCAAAGAATCTCACAAATAAAACTTAAAAAAAAAATTCTTCATTTAGCAGTAAATTGAATTATTGAGTTTGACTTTTAAAAACTGACACAAGCTGAATAGCATCTCAATGAAGATATATAACTTAATGTTTTTTTTCTTTATTTAACATCAGTAAAAAAACAAACTGTGAATGCAATATATTACTGAAAATCAGTGAGACAAATGAGCTTGAGTTTCATTAGCCTTTCAGAATCTAAATTTATTTAAATTGAAAAATCAAAAGTTTTAAAGTATAATAAGTTAGTAATAAAGAAAAGAGACTCTTGATTACAAGTAAGAAATCGGATCATTAAAAAAACAATTATAGGAAGATAATAATAACATTATTATTACAAAATGTGATTTTGAAATCATGAAATAAAATTATTTCTTAAAAATTCAAAAGACTGGCTTTCACTAGTTCAAAAATCAAAAGCTTGTTATATGTTACAGTTAGATTAATAAAAATTTTATTTAAGTTAAAATTAATCGTTCAAGATTTTAATATATGATTAACAACCAAAATAGATACAAACTGAAAACCAAAAATTAATACCTAGTTAATTTAATGTTTTTTTGTTTTTTGAAGTAAATTAAAGGAATTAGCAATAGCGGATAGTTTTGGTTAACTTATACTGAATAAGAAGCATATTTTAGACCTAGAATGTGACTATCCACTTATTTTTTATAGATGGCACCTCCAGCTGTTTCATGGAATATAGCACCTAGTATGGGACAACCATACAAATGTAGAGAAGGAGAACTTGTTCCAATTCCACGTTATTGCCTTCGAGTTACCCAGCACTTGGGCACTTGTCATGTTGGAGAGGTATTCTTTCCTTAGCTACTCTTTTTAGGAATGCATAAAAAATAAATAAATTAAGACTGAATTATTATAAATCAATGCTAAGTAAACATACACGACAATAAAAAATAAATGATATGAAAATGTTAATTTGAATGATATTGATGCAACTTATGTTTTAAAAATAAAAGAGCTTTTAAATGTGAGAGATTTATCAAGAGTACCAAACTTCATCATGTATCACTGGACAGAGATGATGCCATAAAATGCTTGTTTATTTGAAGTAATAAATCATCTCAGATTAATAATAGTAATAAAAAATGGATAAATATAAACTATGGCAGAAAATATTAATTAAGTAAAAGATAAATAATGTCTGGTGTATTGGATTGTGGACTAACAAATGCAAAAATAATATTTTATGGTATATAGAAACACTATGTAATGGTATATTTAAATGAATCCTAGCCCAAAAGACAATTTTGGTACCAATTTATCTTCTTCATTTTTTTTTCAAGAAATATTCCAAAAAAGTACCAATATACATGGGGAAAATTTTACACCTATATTACTGAAAATCCACTTTTATGAAAATATCTCAAATCAATGTTCTTATTTAAATAATTTCGAAATCATTTGTACAATGGAGTGGTTTTCATTTTACAATATTTTTTAAGTTTGAAAAACTTTGAAATTTGATTAAACTCCAGGAAAAAAATAGAGTAGGGTTTACATTAATTGTTAAAATATATTAATGTCTAAGTAAACATACACAACAATAAAAAATAAATGATATGAAAATGTTAATTTGAATGATATTGATGCAACTTATGTTTTAAAAATAAAAGAGCTTTTAAATGTGAGAGATTTATCAAGAGTACCAAACTTCATCATGTATCACTGAACAGCGATGATGCCATAAAATGCTTGTTTATTGAAGTGATAAATCATCTCAGATTAATAGTAGTAATGAAAAATGGATAACCATAAACTGTGGAAGAAAATATTAATTAAATAAAAGAAAAATAATGCCTGGTGTGTTGGATTGTGTAGGCAACAAACGTGTACAAATACTCTAAATATCATATCATCCAGAGCCCCACAAAGTCAAAATCCGTACAAATTATTTAATATTGCTCAATATAGCACCAACACATTCAATAATATTGACACTCCTTCAATAATATTGAAATGGTTTCAATACAAATCTATATCAACATGTTTGATTGATTTCAATATGATTTATACAATGTAGTCCTTCAATGATTCACTATTGTAAATGTTGGCATTTATTTATAATATAATTTCATTTAAAATATAAATCATTTTTATAACATTTTAATTATAAATTACTTAATGACTATTAAAATGTTTTTTTGACTTACATTATCTTATAGGTATTAATGTGTGAAATGGATGGAGAAGAAGTTGGAAAAGGAAGAGTCCTTGTGAAAATTATGAGAGGTGAATGTGTACGAGAGGCAAAATTGTTATCAAGTCTCAATGACCAAAATGTTGTAAGGACATTGGGTGTCTGTACTACTGAGCAACCACCCTGGGTTGTAACTGAATTTCCAGCTGAGTTGGGTGACCTTCATCATTTGCTTGTCAACAATGACTCAATAAAGTGAGTACCCGACAATTAAACAACAAAATTTAAAATGAGTCAAACATTTTTTATTATCATCTAATAAACTAAAAGATAAATTATTCAAGTAAAAGTAGATGCTAAAGAAAATTTTTAAAATAAAATAATTACATAGAAGTATATAAAATAATTGAATTCCAGGTATAGCTGTTTGATGTTTATGGCAATACAAATTGCATCAGGAATGAAATATTTAGAATCCAAAAATTTGGTTCATAAAGACATTGCAGCCAGGTGAGAAACCAGATTACTAATATATAATGACTAAATAACTATGCTATATTCAATTTTAATTTGTTTGAATCCAGATATAGCTACAATGGTAATAACAATACATTGATTACAAATAACGCCAATACAATGATGTACACTATGATTATATTCCATAATGATGGAATATAATATATTCATCAGTAGTTATAATTATTTTCATTTTTCAGAAATTGCTTAGTGGCAAGAGGCTATACAGTAAAAATTTCAGATGTTGCAATATGTAATCCAGATTACGAGAATGATTACAGTGCTATAGGTGGTCGACCTCCAGCACCTATTAGATGGATGCCTTGGGAGAGCATTCTTTTGGTAATATAAATCATTTTTGAATTTATTGATTTGTGAATTGGTTTCTCAAACTTAATAATTTGTGATTAGTTTGATGTGATGACATATAAGAAATTCACCAGTTGATATATGTAAAAAAAGTAATTAAATAATCTATTGCCATCACTTTGCAATTAAAATCACAAGATATTTTTAGAATCTGCTATGGATAAAATTATTATCTAAGTAATTGATAAATCCAAGAATACCATAATAGCTGAGTGGTAAGCTCTGCGTTTATAATATTAAGTTCACCAACATCGAATCCTAGCCTCTATTTTCTTAGTATAGTTGGTTAATGGAAATTGCTTTGACCAAAATTTAGAGAATTGTTGAATTATATTAAATCTAAATTTAGAGAACTATTGAATCCAAGAAACTGATAAATAAGCATAATTTTATTATTTACTTTAACTATTTTATTTAAAATTTTATTATTTTTGAAACTCGGAGGACAATTTTTATCACTTTAAATAATTATAGCGCTCTTTGCCAAGAATGTCTGTTATCTTGGTAAAAGTTACTTGATTAAAAAATCAAAAACATTCACAATATTTATAATATGAATTTACTTATTTATTAACATAAAACAATTGTAGGGGCATAAATCTACTAGTGTTTAAAATATTCTTTTAAGGACAATTTTAGAATAAATCTACTATTTTTGTACTAGGAAGATAAATAAACAAGATTATGTGTCAGTACAATTACTTGTCTATAAATAATTGTTGAACATTTTTATTGCACAGACTAATATCTATATCTTGAATAGGTTTTGATATAATAAAATGAATATCAAACTATTTCAGTTTATTATTTCATTCCAATCAACCTTAAATGAAATTTTAAGAACAGAAACCTCCATAAAAACATAGAAAGTGGGATAAAAGTAACTTATAATTTAATGACGAAAAAAAATTCTAAGGGAATTTTTATTTACCTTGATTGTTATTTGCGCTACAAGTTTCTGCAAATATCAAAATTTAATCATATTATTTAATGTCATTTAGGATCGACACACGTGTGCTAGCAGTGTTTGGTCTTTCGCTGTTACTCTGTGGGAAATAATGAGCAGATGTTCACAAAGGCCATTTGAGACTCTCACGAATGATGAAGTAGTTCAAAATGCTGAACAAATGTACTATGGAGGAGAATTACCGGTGAGTTCACTGACTAAAGCCCATTTATTAAATAATTTCGTAAAGCTTATAAAATATATATACATATATATTATTAAGATAGGCTTTACAAACCAGAACTCTGGACACCTGCACCAGCCTTCTCCAACTCTGATTATCTTAGGCTACTGCTTTCCGGTTAGCTGCTGCATTAAGCTCTGCAGCATCTTTGTTGATCCTAAATATCCACCTGGTTTATGGCTTCCCACATGGTCTCGAGCCAAGTGTGCATTCATTGCAGTATAGAGAGATTATGATGGATTGCTTTTTGCTACATACTCCACCTACCTTCATTTCTTGAGGATATTGTAGATATCTGAGATCCCAGTGGTATTCCAGGAAGAATTTTTTGGTATACTATCGAATATTTTGTTTCATCTTGGATGACTTGTAGGCCAATTTGATTTGTTCCTCTTATTGCAATTTCTAAATAACCTGTTAATTGCTTTCATCATACTGCTATCTTATCTCAAGATTTTATGTTTCATTCCTTTATTTTCAACTGATATCTGAACTTAATACCTTCTCAAAGACTAACAACATAAGTGAGAACCCATCTCCCTCTCTTTATCAGTGAAACCTCTTTTCATCACAAAGACTTTAAATAGTATTCTTTTATATGGACTCTGAATTCAGAATCATTTGTACATGCCTTCATCAATCTCACCAACTTCCAGGGTAACACCCAGCTCAGTCATGATCTTCCAAACAGACTGTCCATGGAATCAAGGCGTGTACATTTTGATCTACTTTCCATTGTTTTTTTAGTACCATTTTTAGAATGAATATCTTGTCTAGTATGCTTCTTCCTCTTCCAAATTCTACATAATGTTCCCCTAATATATTTCCATTATATGGACATATCCAGTTAAGCAGGATGTTATTATTATCTTTTATGCTGTGCCACTGAAATTACCACACTAATACATGAACATCTTTTAAGGGATTGGAGAGAGCCACAAAAGTAAATTATTGGGAATGAACTTGGGTTGGATGTGACACATTTCTTCAGGCACATTTATTCTATACCTGGTAATAAAATATCACCAGGCATAATACGGTACCTAGTGTTTGTGTGAAATTATTACATGGTATTGGATACCTTTCTGGTTGTCTGGTTTTTGACTAACAGTACTACATAGTGCCTACAGAAGCCTATAGCTTATTATTACCCAGTGCCTGGTAAAATCTGATACCGAATGTCTCACTACTTTATATAATTTCTCTTATTTTCTTAAGTCTTCTTAGAATTCCCAAACTTTTTTTTTACAGCCTATAGGTTTTTCCTCACAGTTAGCACTCTTCAGACATTCCTTTTTTGTTCCCCTTATAATTTTTTATTTTAATTTTTCTGGTAACTGTGTCATGAGTATCTTGATTTATTTTTCCTCTAGCAGAGAACTTTAGCACTTTATTCCATATTTTTTGTATATATATATATATATATATATATATATATATATATATATATATATATATATATATATATATTGATATATACACACATAATTTTATAAATATTTATTAATAATATTAAAGAATTATTTAAACACTATTTTCAGTAACAAAAAACAACAACATATGTATATCTGGTACACATAATTCTCTATTTAATTAAATGATTAAAAACCAATTCTATTTTTTTTTTTGCAGATTCTGTTACCAAAGCCACCAATATGTCCCAATGATGTTTTTGAATTCATGATTAAATGTTGGACACGGGATCAAAATCTTAGGCCAACATTTAGAGAAATTTATATGTTTTTAAAAAAAAAACATATGGGTGAAACATTAAGCTCACAAACAAAAAAAGTAGATCTTTAATATAAGACCGGATGAAATCAAGATAAAATTATTTTATTTAAATCACTTAATCACTTCATCAGTATTAAATGCAAGGTTGAATAGTATTCAGTTGTGTAGCAAAATTTATCCTATAAGTACTCACAATAATAAATAAGGCATTTATATATAAACATCAAATTCATATTTGTATAAAGTGTAAAATCTCTTGTATGTAAAAGAATGGAATAGTTTGATAAGCCATGTGTATAGAAAGTTTTTAACTGTAAAACAACTTATTATACTATGCAAAAATATGTGCATTGCCTTATTCTTTAAAAGTATTCTAGGTGACAACAAAATCTATAAAACACAGAAGTAAATAAAATTTACTAAGGTTTTTAAATTCCCACCCAACAATTGCACGGTAGTCCCTTCTGAACTTACTGAGTGATTTGACAAAATTGTATATTTTAGATATTATAGGATGTTTTTTAATGGTTGAGATGTAATATATACTATGTAAATAGTCCAGAAGATCTTATGGTTGTCTAAACTTCTATAAGAATTGCTTGATTGTGATAGAGATTGTATGAAGACTGTTTTTGACCTATGCTTTTTAAATGTTAATTTTTATTTTCAAAGATTAGTTCCAATTACTACAGCTACTATCAAGTGTACATAAATATTTATTTATTTTCATAGAATTGTAGTGAAAATGTTATCACTCATGTGTTACTAATCATTATGGTGCATATATGGTAAGTTAACTTGCACCAATTTATTATATTGTAATATAATGTATTATAAATTAACTGCATGTTAGTTTTTTTAGGAAAATGTTTTTTAAAAAATAACATGATACAGTAATTAAGGGAGAACTAATGTTACATTATGATTAAGTGTTTTTTATTGAATCAAAATATTAAAATAAAATTAATATAATTTTTTAAAAATGGCATTATCCATTTATATTTTTTGTTCAGTGGTGTCATCTTTTCACATACATTTGCAGGGGAGGAAAATTGGATTATTAAGGCAGTTCAATTAAATATTTGCATTGAATTATATTTTATTTCAGTTGAATAAAATAAAAATATATATTCCAACAAATAAATGGGGAGAGTGGCTGATTGGGCGAACGCACATGCCAAACACGCATTGCCCGGTAATCTGATAAATCAAAGTTTGAATGATAAAATAATTACAAGTTCGCGTCCTGGTGCTGGGGGAGCACTCTGGAACACTCTGGGAGCACTTTTAACTCTGGCATTAATCCTCCGCCCCCTCCTTTTGGCCAGGGAAAACCACTGTATCTCCCAAAAGGCGAGGAAGGGGTGGACAAAAAAAACAAAATCTGACAAATAAAGCCACTCACCACTGTAATAAAAACATTTTTTTTAAATTATAATCATTTGATTGAATCCTAATTCTTTATACAATCTGAATGTGTCAAAATGACAGATCTCACTTTTATATTTTAATTATATCATTTTTTGTAACTTAAACAATTGCTGTCCCTTAAATGCTAAAGATGTTACTGCTCTTGAGAGAAATAAAACATGCATATTTATATTTTAGTTCGTAAATAAATTCAATTATAGAGTACCTATAGTTATTTAAATGGATGCGATGATTACATTATAAAAAGAAAATCTTTTTTTAATGAATATAAATCCTTAAGTTTCTTTTACAATATTTTGCAATTATATTCATAGTCATAAAATATTATCAATATATATATTTTTTAGTTAAATCTTTATAGTTATTACTGAATTGACATCTGGTTTCAGTTCTAGTTCAAGTTACAAAAAGTTATTGATGTATATTTTATTTTAAAGTAATTATTTTTTGATCAAATTTCTTGCACCTAAATAATTAATTTATTAGCTTAAAAATGATTTCCATTTCCTTTATTCATTATGAGAAAAATATTAATACATCAATGAAAATAATTTAAAAAATAAAAATAAAATCTTTCTTCTCCTGTTTTAATAACTGTTGATACTCTGACAAAGAAATGTACACTGATATTTAAATATTGATGGGTAGATAACTGTTAATTGTGAGAGATGCGTATTCTTTCTTCAAGCTATACCTCTGAAATTATTCTATGTATAGTTGCAACTTTGTTACATACCTATAATAGTGTAGAAACACACCCTGAGTAAAATACTTATTTTTTGCTAACATAGTTTTTAAAAAAAAATTTTAGTTACATCTATATCATCAAACTTCAGCTTTATAAAAACAATTTTAAATCCAGGGTAAAATGTTCATTGAAAGTTCTTGTTTATGAGTAATATTTTTTAAGCAATCAGCATGGGCACTGGCACTAGGGAAATATTGAGGGGGCAAAGGTTATAATACTATACCTAATTAGTAACCCAGTCATCAGTTTATTACATGTAAAATAATGTTATTATTACTTGTAAGATTTATTGAACTTCTTGTCAGTTATTTTTAAGTATATGACTATGAAATATTAGGAGGCTTGAGAAACACTCTGGCCTATTCATAAAATATCAGGAAGGTAGAAAGTGCCTTGCCTTTCTGGTGCCGGTGGCTAATGCAACAAGTGCAACTATTATTATTAATTCTCTATGGTAACCCTAATTAAGAATACAGTCTTTCACGTTGCAAAATATTTTTTATTTCAATAACTATTATAACTTTATTTTCATTGTTACTTGATTCCCTGTTAAATTATTCCATTGATCTTAATACAGTAGTTTCCAAACAATTTGAAATGTTTCCTTCTTAAAACACTAGTTTTAGTTATTATAACTCTAAATTCATTCAGAAAATGATCAAAACGAGTCAGACTAGTCATTAGCTTTAGGTAAATTCTCATTACTTGCAAATGATGACTTTTAAATACATTTGTGATTCATTATTTTTAAAATAATTTTTATTTGCTATTCGTGAATGACAAATCAAAAAAGTATTTACAACATTTTTATTTGAAAATAAATTTTATGAACACAAGAAAAAAAAAACATTTCAAAATATACATTTAATATATCATATAAACTCATTAGCATGTCAAATGTTATTATTATTATTATTATGATCTTTATTTTAAATGCGAAATGAATCATGAATCTATATGACAAATAAAAATATTTTGAATAATGAGAACAATGAATAAAAAATTATACTAACTGATTGGTGATAAATTTTTTATAAAAAAAAATAAAACAAAGTCTGTTAGTCTAATTTTAAAATTAACCGTTTTATTTTCCAATGGAATAATTTCATTTTAAGTTATAAATATATCTTTGTAAGAAATAATTTGTATTTACTTTTGATCCTGCTGTGATAACAATGTAGAATAACCTTGAAGTTTTAATAGGATTAATTAAATTAAAATAATTTTAGTAGTTAAATTTTGTAAGGATAATCTGAGAGACAGTAAAATATGACCTCAGCATGAAGCGCCTAGTCTTGGATAGCCTAAATAA